AAATGTGATGTCAAATTGTTGACGTTGTGCATTGTGCACATGCCTTGACCCAAAGGACAGTCTCCAACTTTCTGTCAAAAAACATTCCAGAACTTTCACATTGGGTTCTTTTCCCTATATAGAACACATGCTACAAGACGTTTGTTTGCGTAGAGTTGTCTGGAATGTCTACAGGGCAGGACAGCCTAAGCGGCACAACATGACAGAATCCGTGGATCTGAGTAATCATCTCCGGCCGGTGGACAATACACCAAGATTCCTGTTAACTGGAAGAACTTGCCTTCGCCTGTGATGCAACAAAGACAGCCGTTTCCAATTCTAGCAAATGCAAAACCAAGTTTTAACTCCTCCACAGAGCTAGTCAACTCCACACATGGCCGAATGCTGTATTCATCTCCCATAGCGACCTGTCAGATTTGTTCTCACTCACGAAGAATCAGACACACGGCCTCCTGTTTTTGCTTCCATTACATTCCATCAATGGTTTACCAAGCGGATGGTACATGCTAACAGATACTGATGTGGGTGTTATCGCAACTTGCAGTGTCAAGTGTTTTATCAGGACTGGAAATGATAGCATTTGGTCATGTGTCTAAACTTACTTTACATTTCCAGTGCTTTCACCTAATTGCACAGCTGAATTAGGCAACGATGATCATGGTGGTTCTATTCTTTCATTGAATATCAGGATGCTGAATACTGTTCCTGCTTCCCATGGAATGGAAGAGAACAAGCTTGGGCTGGTCTGGTGCAGCTATGCTCATCCCAAACCGAATTTTTATTTTGCCTCAGTTATCCCATGCTCCAAGGCCAGGTATTCCCCGACACTGTGGAGCAAATAGAGAGATATGTTTTCTCTTGTCTCAGCAAACCATCATCACTCAGCCATGTAAATGAAAGCCAAGAGAAGTTGTTCACTCAAAACCGTAAGATGAAAACATTCCTCTAAGTTGCCATGCCTGGAAACGCTGTGAAAAAGGGCTGTTTTATCACGCAGGGCACATCTGGGGCAGTCACTTATAGGAGACCCTGAAGTTCCATCGCCAGATTTATGGGGAGCTGTGAGAGAGTGACAGCAGTGACTTCCCCATGACTCCATGCTGGACCACTCTTCCAGAGGCAGCCAAAGCTAGGCAGGAACTGTTAAAATGTGGTACAAAAAGATGCAAGTGTGTCAAAGCAAATCTCGAGTGTACACATATGTGCTTCTGTTCAGGACAGTGTAACAGAGAATACGAAAGCAAATCTGATCATATGAGACACTGACAGAGATCATTTAATGTTTTAACATAATACATGATACACCATTGGATTGCTTTTACACGGCATACGCGCGTGCCTTCTATTGTGTGCACTGCGTCTTCATGAAATCTGATGGAACGACGTTTTAGCGGGCGCGCAGGCGAACCTTCCAAAGTGTAACAGAAATTATGAACTGAAGTATAGATGGCATACTTAAGTTTTCATCATAATTTTTCTCGTGTTCTACCCAGTTCTTTGACCTAAAAAACATTTTATATTGTATTTGTTTAATTTGAAGATGTATGTTAGGATATTTCATGTTTTCCATCGGGTTCCTTGACATAAAAACAGGTATAGATAACTAGATCCTGGTAATCGTGGCACGTATAGCCATTTTATGGCAAAGAAATGCGTTTGTGACAGCCAAATTGTGGATTAAATTTTTTGGGCGGGAAGATATTATGATAGATCACATGTGTTCTATACCCGTTCTATGGGGTTCATTGACCTCAAAAACATGTATAGAGACCAAGATCATGGTACTTGGGGCACTTACAGCTGATTTAAGGGCAAAACTGTGTTTTGTGGTGGCCATTTTGAATTTTCAACTTTTTGGTGGGAAGATCGTATCTTATGATATTTGACATGTTTTATTGCATTCTTTGACTTCAAAAACATAGGTATATACACCAAGATCATGGTAATCAGTGCACTTACAGCTGATTTATGGGAAAAAAACATTTTTTCTAGCGGCCATTTTAAATTTTTGATTTTTTGGCGGGAAACGTTGGAGTGACATCTAACCTGTATGATACAGGCGGTTACGGTTCTGCTTCACTACACTAACCGCCTGTACCCCTCGCGTATTCGGCCCGCTTTGCGAACCAAGAAATCATTGCGCCCAATCAGAGAGCTGTAACGGGCCAATCGGCTAATCAGCGAGCAGGCTTTTGACTGACATCATTTCTCAAGTTATTCAAGTTGAATTTATAACTGCAATTAGT